GGGTTCGTAGCGCAGCGCAGCGCTAACTGCTACACACGCACGCACACACAAGGATCCCATCGTATGAGGTTGGTTTCATGTTACATTTTGTTCAAAATGCAGACACTCGGGGGCTTATTCGCCAGGGTAGGGAGCAATTAGGCCGCGCGTGAAACAGCTGAAGACAGCAGAAGTCCCGTGGTTATGTAAGATCGGCCTCCTTGAAGGATATCAAACAAATGTCTATGCCCCGCCCGCCCCGACAATGCTAGATGTGATTCTGGTATCTCCAGGGGTGAGGGTAATTGGAACGGTTAAGACATTGTACTGAGTGCTCTTTAACCGAGATGGAAACTGCACAAAAGTGCCGTGGGTGGGATTCAATTCTACTGGCGGGCGGGAGGGAGGAGGGAGGGAAACGAAACCTCCACCACCACCACCACTCAAAAAAGCGAAATAATTCCTCGCGACGTGCAGAAGCAGCAGCGGGGCGCAGGACGGAATCTGTACCGTTTGTATATTTTTGTTCGTTTTGTTTTAGTGCCCCGTTTGCAGCGGCGGGTGCAGCAGAGATATTTCGAGAGAGAGAGAAAATTAAAAAAAATCATTCTGGCACTTCGTCGCGAGCAACGCACAGCGGGGAAACGCAGCGAGTGGAGCGCCACTCGCGCAAGTCAATCACCGGCTCCCTGGGTTAAATTTAAGCGGTGAAAGGAGAGACAGGGAGACCTGGGGGGGTGGGGGGGGCAGAGTGAGCCGGATAATCTCGCCATACTTTCCTCTCCAAATCTCATGACTCTGCTCAAAGAGCTGTCGCTCCACCACCAATCTCTCTCTTTCTCTCGCTCTCTCTGGAATTGTTAAACGCAGGCACCTTTGATGGCAATTTTCATCACCGGGGATTTGACAATTCCAACCGTTAACTAGGATATGAGCTTCGAGTCACTTAAGAATGACGGTCGTCCGATTTGATTTTTAAAAATTATTATCGTGGTCGCTGCGCAAAAACCCGAACTGCCCAAAAAAATGCTGAGCGGACAGCAACAAACAGCACTATTCAAGTTCTATCAGTAACAAATTAAAGACGTTTGTTGAACTGAGCAAGGTTACGATGACTTAAGAAACGAGTCGATGGGATGATTACTGATTGCCCAACGCTTTCGGAGTAAGCTACGCGACCGTTACCATATTTGGTGTGTTCGAAACAATGCCAACTAATTAGAGGTAGTTATGATTCCTCTATTCAAGTGTACATGCAAATGTGCCTCGTTATGCGCAAACGTTGAACTTCTTTCGCACCGTACGCAGCCAAACCGGCGCTAATCGAAAAGGCCAACAAAAATAACGCCCAAAAAAAACAAAAGCGAATTCTTCAAATAAATTTTCGTGCTTCACTTTAGAACATTGGGGGTTTTCCCCATCTTAGGATTCGCCATAGAAAAAAAACGCGTCCAACGTTGGAGACGGAGCTCCATTTGGGATCGTGAACATTTGCGGGATCGTCAGAGGTTGGCGACGTCTCGGGGCCAGGGTCCTCATCCCGCAGTGGAATCGATTACGTGGCTCGGTGTTTCACGTCGCACGGAACGGGTTCGTGGTTGTGCCCCCTTCGCCACTAGGAGCCGCTAGATCGTCGTGCTGCGTAAACCCGACTTCGTATCCACCGCCTTTGTATGCAATTGAACCTTATGGCGGTGACCCCGAGGTATATCCATAGTACACCGGCTCTCGCATCATGTCCGTGATGCAGTCGTTTTTAGTCTCTGTTGATGGTCGGCGACGCGGCAATCGACTCATCTCGACGAGCTGTACTCACGATGCACCACCACGGTGCGTGCGAGCGTTCAGGGTTTCGGCGCAATCGTCCTCGCTGCGTTTCGACATCGCGGAGTGTGGCACCGATGTCGGATTGATTGGTACCCCAATCACGGAGTTAAGTACACCCCTGGGCAACAAATAGTGTCCCAGAAATAAAATATGTAATTGCCTCCGCCCATTTTGTATTATTTGGTTAACCCGGGGTACCGCCATAAGGATCAAAATGCTGCATTTAACCAAACCTGTTGGCATGATGAAGTTTATACTTTTAATTATTTGCCTTACGAATATAGATTGTATATATATGTGCAGTATACGGGTCCACAGTAGGCACGTGTCGGATTTCGGCCGTCGTTGCGATGGTTAGCTCGCTTTTCTTGACTTGCAATGGGACGAGTTTCTTAAAATCATCCCGCACCCCGCACCCAACCTCCCCCCACTGCTTCGATCCATCCAAGCAGTGTAACTGGGTTCGCCACAATCTGGTCAATCGGCAGATCGCGCGTGGTGGTGGTGGGGGGGGGGTGGCAATGCGTGGGTAGACTTGGCTATCGCGGAAGAGTAGGCCAATGCACGCACACGATTGGCTGCGTACGGCGCGAAACAAAGGGCGCGCTCCCAGGTCAAGGTCTGCGCTCTTTGATGGTGATCGGTGATTTTAGTCAGCGTGGCACCCAAGCTATGGAACGCCTCGCCACTTGGAATGAGGCAATCGGAGTCGGTAGATAGATTCAAGCCTGCTTTGAAAAACCCCATCTCTTTATAAAGTGGCTTTTCCTCGTTAGATTGGTTGGTTGGCCCCCCCCCCTGGGTTCTGATTTTAGTTTCCCTGCTTTTCATGCATTACGCATTGAGATCCTAGGATGGAATGCGCATTATACATTTGAATTATTCTGATATACGTACACACAATATATCCACCAGAGGAGGCTCACCAGAGCTTCCCCTTTCCGCAGGCAGTAGCGCCAAGTGAGCCATTGCAGGGCCGCACCTTTACCCCTTTCCACACGCCGGACGTTTTGACCGAGTGAGGGCCTTTTATACGAGCATACTTCACCACGCTGGCCAGTGTGGGTTTGTGAAGGCGTGGAGCATAGCGGGCGGTGCAAAAAGTTCTGTACGGAAACAAGAGTGGATGTTGCTAGCCCTGCCCGCGGTGTTGGCCTGGAGCAGCCTATAGCACCTGTTTTTTGCCTGTGGTTGGTCGCCCATGAATTCACTGACATGGAGGCTCCCAAAAAAATCCTGCTCAGCTTCGTAAGATTAAATTTGGTGACGGGCTTGTTTAAAAAAATGTAACGCGCGGACACGCGAGATCCTACATCGTTCAGTGCGTGCTGCGTCTGTCGAACTGGTTGGGACTCTACATCATTGGACCTCCTTTGCCAGTACCAAAATATAATAATAGGGGTTTTCCCCTTTTTTTGGCGTCCTCTGGTCGAGCACCAATTGGGTCGAGGCTCAAAAGAAAGCCATCCCCTGGTGTGGACCAATCAGTTTCAATGACAATGCATATATTATCAAAGTGGTTTTTTTTTGCATTTGACTGCAAGTATTGTGGTTAATGCAGACATGACTCCTTATAAAAAGGTTTCAGTTTTGTTGCCAGAAAAAAAGGGGGAAAACCCTATTATTATGGTTTGGACTCGCATTTTGACAGGGAGAATGGAGTCATTGCCTTTCTAAACGTCTTCGTCGGTTCGCTGCAACTTGACTCGAAGCGACAACAACAACAACAACAACGCTCCTGACTCAACACTAGAACGTTCAAACCCAATGCGGAGTTTCGCTCGTATCGAACCGATGCTGCCGAATAAATGGAATCACTTCCGTGAATGGGAGGGAGTGTGGGGATCGGTGGATTGTGTCAACAGTTGAAACATTGTGTATATATACACACAGTATACGGAGACAGATATATGATACAGCCATTGCTTATCTATCGAGTCTGTGTATCATTACTGCGCGTTCTACGTTGTTTAACATATAGATTGCTGATGTTTATAAGTGCTGCGTCTGTATTCACAGCGAGGTGTACAACACAATCGTGTGTCTGTATTTATGTACGTGAAACTACACACCGTTCTGACAATCTGTATAATGTGAACGAAGCTTGGCACCCGAACAATTAATTGGACACGGGTCCGTGTATTCATCTGTGTGCAATTGTCGTCATGCGTATATATGTACGCGTGATAAAGTAGAGAGTGTTGCATGTCATTTATATACATATGAATTATGTAGTATTACATGCGTACCTGTCAATCCCTTATCAGTGCCCTACCTTATTACAGACCCAATGCAGACCCTATTGGTCACCCCGTGCCCCTATAAATCTCAACGTCCATCCTACAAAGCCCCATCACAAGGGAGAACCTATGGGTTGACGGTGATGTACATGCATATTATTTGTATCTACACGTGTATTATAAGTCGTATGAGCACAGTGCAGATGTCTTATGACCCCCCCCCCCCCCCCAATTAATTAACCCTAACATTTGTTTTCCTTTGCATATTAATTTCTCTTTCAAATAACCCCTTACTTAAAAACACACACACATTAAGTTTTAGAGAATGAAATGGGGCGTCACGAGACATATGGACCAGCCTGTGTACACCTCAAAGCAATTGTGCGTACTTGTATCTTGACATTAATATAATGCAAAGTTTCATTATGGAATGTATATCTGTATGAAATACCACATCTCGTATGCAAATACTTTTGGCACATTTGCAGATGTAAAACACATATATATACGAATTTTGTATTTATTTTGTTACAATTAAAACTATACACTGCTCAAATGGATATCAACAAACATCAGGGCACAGGTCTTGTGTTCAAAAGAATATTAGCTTTGTTTAGATAATCACACGTTAACAATGGCCATTAAAATTCGTCATCTGCTTTTCTGCGTTTCACTTTAACAACACTGTATGGCAATATAATACTTGTGTGTGTGTGTATACGCTTGGACGCTTTATTTCATAGCAACTGCGAACAGAAATATCCTCATTTTTAACGTATTTCAAACACCCGACAACATCAGATGACCAGCATCGTATGAAGGAATATAACCGCGTGCGGTGCAATTTGTAGCACGTACTTCAAAGCACCTATCGGCTATTCAAGCATTCGTGTTCCTTACATTGCTCTCAGTAGCACACAACAAGCAACAAGCAACAGCACTGAAGCTACTCACGGTTCTCAAGAATTGAATCTCATCCTCTCCCTCTCCGCCGTCACCCATGGCTCGATCTGGGCTTCCTGTGGCTAGGAATCCAACCCAGGTCCACCCTGCTCGCCGGCTCCTCCGCTGTAGCTGCTGCTCCTGCTGCTTGGTGTCGTCCGGGTCTTTTCAAATAACTACACTAGAGGCTCATAATGCTGCTGCTGCTGATGTAGGTGGTGGTGGTGGTGGCGGTGGTGGTGGTTGGACCCGGGACTGACGTCTCTAGAGGAGCGTGTCAGTGCGAGAAGCTGAGACGGACCGAGCAGGTGCAGCGGTGCAGCTGCTGGCAAAACCGGATTGCCCTGTGTGCGCACACGACTAAGCCACCCCAGCCAGACTCTGCCTACACCATTCATGTACGGCGGTGGTGGCAAACGATGGAGTTGGGTGTTGGTGGGGGGGGACTGACATGAATTTCACACAACACGCGCGCGCACACGTGTGGCAAAATTGACTCAGCAATGTGTGTATTGTGTTTATAAAACAAAAAAACGGGTAATTATTGAAGAGCTGCTGCCCTGTGGGCCTTCTTGGCTGAAGTCACCATCACAGCGATTGAGCAAATGTGACTGACATAAGGCGCAGTGAGGCAACTATGGGCCGGTTTCATGCACGCTTCTCGTTTAAAATGTATGCTTTTCTGGCCTGCAGCTGATGGTTTTTTTAAAATCCTTTATTAAATCCTTTATATTACGTTCGCGTGCTTGCTTGCTTGCTTGCTTAGGACCGTGCAAACCTTTCGGTCGTTTTTTAACCCACTTCCCGTGATCCAATCGAGCTGACATTTTGCACACAAACTCGTTGTGCGAGACAATTAATGTTCGTGAAAATTTTTTTCCAAAATTTTACACTGTTTAGGGAAAACAAATTAAATATTTAATTCCCAATTGCTTAATGGTGGCAGACAATCATCTGACCCATAGGTGACAGCCATCTCGAGCCAGAGGACGAGAGGACTCTAGCCGCCACGCATATAAATGATTTAGAGTGAAAAACTTTGTTTTTACGGGTTATACTTATTCTTCTTTCTGTTATAATGCAGTCTCTCACCATTTACAAACTCAATTCGCCAACGTAAAAGTGCACACGCACCCAGCCACTGCAGCATTCGTTAATTCAAGAGGCAATCGTGGTGGTAGAGGCTCAAAGAGCCAGCATGATGTGCAATTTGTGTAGATGCATTATGCCTGGCTATTATACATTCAGAGTTTAACTATGTGAGCCTGTCTAAGCACATTCCTGCGGAGGGAACTGGTAGGAACGTTGGGTTGCTCGGTCGATGGCCAGGGTCAACGGCGGCGTGGTGTATTCCGCAAATATGCCCGACTGTGAGGGCGGGCACAAGCCGGCGTGAGTAGGTTAAACGTTGAGTTTTATAAGGGCACCACGGGGTGACCAGCCCCTCCCCACCCCAGCCCCACCACTCCCACCTCCCACCCTCCCCACCCTCCCCACCCAGCTGCTCCCTCCCTCCCCACCCAGCCCCACCCCACCCAGCCCCTCCCCATCCAGCCCCTCCCTCCCCACCCAGTCCCTCCCCACCCTCCCCTCTCCACCCAGCCCCACCCTTCCCATTTTTGGATGCACGACGGACGGACGGACACAATAATCCCCTGTGGGCTGGTGAAACCAGGAGGTTCCTACCAGTAAATCCAACATATATGGGTATATCATATCTTGTGGCGTGGCATCGTGGTCCAAACATTCGCTCGAGACTCCCTGTAGAGTTATCTCTCTACCAGCAAGTATCGTGAGCAACCACGGAAATTCAGGAGTCATTTGTTTTTGCGTGCATCAATGTTGAACTTCTTTCGCACCTGTGCGTAGCCAACCGTGCTTATCGTAGGTGCGGATATATCGACACGGAGAGGACGATGCACCGCTGGTTTTTGGGGTCAGGTCACGTGAGGTCACTCACGTGACCTGACCCCAAAAACCATGAAATTGAGAAAACTTGGGTTGGGTTCGCGGTTCGTAATATGGGGCCGTCCATAAATGACGTCACGCACCTGGGGGGGGGGGGGGGGTCAGACATTTGTGACGATGTGTGACGAGGGGGCGGGGGGGTTTGAGAAATGTGACATCACATGAAAATGCGCAACTTTAAATAAATATAGGCAACACATTCTACTTAAATAAATAGACTTTTTAATAAATGTTTTCTCCTACAACATCAGAGTGCAGCGCCACATTAAATACGCACTACAATGACAATAGTTTAAAGCGATTTGAAGCATGTTTTATTTTTGGGGGGGGGGCAAAGCTTTGTGACGTCATATTTCAGAGGGGGTCTGACTTTGTGACGCCGTGTGACGAAGGGAGGGGGGGGTTAAAAATCGTCCAAAATCGCGTGACGTCATTTATGGACGGCCCCTATGACAACCGCAGCCTTTTTGTGTTTTACGTTACCCTACATCTACCCTACATCCAGAGCCAAACATTCAACAGGGAGTATTTTGAATGCAAAATATGACTGATATTTTATAGTGTTAAATATAACTTGGACGGTAAATGCATAGAATTAATAAAACATTAACGTAGCGGCGAGGTTCAGCAGCACGCGATTTTGATTGATTCCCGTAGAGTTGCAGGGTGGTCCAGATGTCTTGTACCCCCCCCCGACCCCTCACATGTTTTCCTTTGCTAATTCACGTATGTGTTAAATAACCCTTACTTTTTAACACTTAGGCTTTCGCGACCAATATTATTCATTACTTTATATTTTAAAAAAAAACATCTACTCAGTTTTTAAAGAATAAAATGGGGGGGGGGGGTCACAAGACAACTGGACCGCCCTGCAACTCTACGGGAATCAATCAAAATCTCGTGCGGCTGAACCCCGCCTCCTCCTCCTGCCTGTAGGCTGGGGACACCGCGTGGCCCGGCAGACGCGGTGGGCCGCTCTGGTAAACGAGACGACGCCGCGCGTATTTTTCTGCGGCAGCAGCGGCATCAACATCATCTTCTTGGTTCTTTCGGTAAAGTCACGTAGAATGGCTGCTTGCGTTGTGGCCGAAACGTCGTGAGAATTATTTTATTATGTTTAATTTTTATTATTTTATTATTTCCATTCTACGTGACTTTACCGAAAGAACCAAGACGATGAATCTCTGCAGTCACGAAAGCTTTAAATCGAAACATCAACATCATCATCGCGAGCAGCACAGTCGGGCACAGGGCGAGCGATCGATGAACTCTGCTCGTCAGTCAACTCAGGCACGAAACCGCAAAGCGCCGCGATGGCTGAACCCGCGAGAGCGAATGTGCGTGTTTTTTTGTATTTCTCTCTCTCTTTTTAATTTTGTTTTACGATCAGTGGGAACAAGAAGATGCTCGGTGTATTCGGCACTTTGCTTCGTTCATAATTTCGTAGTTTTTATTTATTTAAATAAAAAATTTTAAACTTTGCTTTATGTAAACCCCCACCTCTCGCTCACTCTCTCGCTCTCTCTCTCGCTCTCTCGTTCTGAACGCAGCCCTTCTCGCAGTCCGACGGCCTCCGACGGGGGGTAGCTCATATCAGCATGCAGAGCTCCCCGTCATCTGCCACCGAGCACACGGCCTCCTCCATCGCCCACTGCTCCTCATCCCCGTGTCACGATACGGTTTAGAACCACGCGCAAGTTAATTACACGCGGCAATTTCTACTGTCAAGAATAGCGGTGGCTTCGGCAGGACACATTGCCTGAAGGAGTGACGGCCGGTGGTCAAGAATAGCCACAGCAGTGGCAGCCAAGGAATGGCACGCACCCACGAGCGCGTAGGCCGGGGAGATGGAGCAATGAAATAATCTCATACGATGGAGATAGATTACAACGTAACAGGAATGCGGGATCGTCAGCCATGGTCGATTCACTGCTGGTTTAACGATGAAACGTGTTTTCTGGGGGCTTGTCCATGAAAACCTGTGTTGTGAATAATATTTTTTTTTAAATTAGCTGAGCAATCCATCCACGATCACCACGTGCTGTTTGAATGTATAAATAACAATTGCCTACTGCATACCGTGTCAACTCGTACGGTTTATCCGTGTTTTTGCACAGAGAAATTGCGTTTTCAGGTCCATGCGGCATACAACCGTTTGAACACGGGCAAACATCTGTTTAGCTTATTTGTGTTTCTCCCCTTGTGATGTGACTTTGTAGGATGAACGTTGAGATGTATAAGGGGCACGGGGTGACCAATAAGGTCTGAATTGGTCTGTAGTAAGGTAGGGCACTGGTAAGGGGTTGACAGGTTTGCTACTGCCCCTGCCGAGATTAACACCAACGCTTCAATGAACATGCCGACCAAGTCGAGTTTGCCATTTCGATCTTTAACGCTTTCCAATGAAGCTTCAGAGCGTCCATGTGTGAGCTCAGTGTGTCGTGTGCACGCTGGACTTCTTTCGCACCGTACGTAGCCAACCGTGCTAATCGGAGGTGCGGTGGGGGCGATAAACTAGACGCGAAAAAGCCAAACGCTTTGCGCTCACAACCGCGTGTTGGTAAGCGGCGTTGAACCCACGCATATGCATGACTTTTTTCTCTGTCGATGCTTATTAGCTTCAGCCATGACAGACGCTGATTGAGAAAAGCATCGATTTTTACCCGTTTACAGAAAACATCAAACGAATAAAGAAGGCTGCAAAGTTGGACTCAATATCCCACGTACTGGAAAACAATATCCCACGTACTGGAAAACACGACCCCACGTACTGTAACAGGATCGCCGATCAATTGTAAGATATCCGTCGGGAAACGACGGCGGACATACGCGTCCACTGGTGCGTCCACTATCGAGGGTTAATATTTTCGTTGAGGACGCCCGCTGGACGATGCAGTTGGTTTGGAAATGACGTCTCTGCAGTTGACAAGACGGTGTTATTTTATATTATTTTATTATGTTTTATTTTTATTATTTTATTACTTCCCTTCTACGTGACTTTACCGAAAGAACCAAGAAGAAGAAGACTGTGTTTGGTGAAATATTGTCTCCTCCATCCAATGGCGGAGCAATGAAAAGTGATAGAGGAGTTGTTAGTAAGTAAGAACTTGTCCCTTGCTTTTTATTCGACGCGTGTGCGGCGATGACGCAGCCATCGATCGAGGGTCGAATTCGAACCGCGTTGTGTGATCGGCCTCGCGCTCGCTGAAGGTGAATGCCTTCAGGGAAGTCGTGTGCTGTATACGCAACTGCGCACAATTCTGTGAGTCACTTATAACTGCTTTGCCGGTACTAATTGCCAATGATGGACTCAGACTATTGTCTTATCATCTCATAGAGTACCTGGCAAATAAATAATATGCTACACAGTGGCAGTGGAGGTCGCAAAATGCCGATTTCTTACTAATACACCCCAATGATCCGATAGAAATTATGCATTTCGATCGGATCATTGGGGGGAGGGGGGGGGCACGTGCTACCCCACCCCCCACTGGCTCGGCCAGTGCCTCCGACTGGAACAAAGAGTGGGGGAGAGAGCGAAGGCCACGCAGTGCGTGGACGAGACCATTTGGTGGCGTTATTTGAGAAACGGCCGTCGAAATGTGGGGCCGACCACGCTTTTGTTTCAAACCGAACCGGTACGAATCTAAACGAGCTACCAACAAAATAAATAAAATATCTGGAATTTGCTCGCATAAAGCCGATGAGTTATTTTGCAAAAATAAAGCGACCAAGTGTGCTGCAGTGCTCGACGAGTCTTAACGGAGGCTGCGATGTGAACGAAGTTTGTTGTGCAGCGTTTCCAAAAATGTGATTTTTTTTATCGCTAAGATTCGGCAACATCTTTTTGGGGCGGTTTCTCCAGCAACAAAAATGTTGTCAAAGCGACGGGTTACAATTCTGGCGACGTTCTGGAACGAGGCCACTATTAACGCACATTTTAGGAGTGATTCCCAGCTGTAGTATTTTAAAGATCCTCCACCAGTTGACGATACGGTATTGTACCGTCATTTGGTAAAGTGGCTCAGTGAAATTGTTAGATTTGCAAAGATGTAGCGACATCTAGTGGCTTGGGGGTTTAACGTTTCGTTCTAGATTTGAAGCTTTCGTGACTGCAAGGATTCATACTCTTAGGTTTTTTCGGTAAATTCACGTAGGTACAAATAAATAATAAAAATAATAGAAATAACAGTAAATTCAGCTGTGACGGTCCCACCTGATGACGGAGACTTGTGTTACCTCCGAAACGCCGTGATTTATTATTTTATTTCTATTATTTATTTTTATTATTTATTTTTACCTACGTGACTTTACCGAAAAAACCTAAGAGTTTCAACCTTCCGCTTTAATGAATTGGCAATCCCGCAGTTTCGTAATGAGACTTCCTACAGGCAAGCCTGAGTATACGAGATGAGCTCGGAATATAGTACTGGACTGTACTTGGCAAATCCTATGCATATCCGAACTAAACTAAACTTTGTATTTGACCAGGTAAAGTCCACTCATTTATATCGTTATTTTTCAGGTGACCTTGGCACAAATGACAGCTCAACGAAGTGGCTTATCACGTGGACATTTATAGAAGCCAAATCCTCTAAAACGCACATTCATTCTAAAATGTGGAAGGAAATACCGGAGGACCCGGAGAAAAATCCACGCGATTACGGGGAGAATATGGGAACTCCGAATACTGTACACAGTTGGCTACGTACGGTGCGAAAGAAGTTCAACGCACAGTTAAAATCTGGATCGAACCCACGACCTCCTGCATACCAGGCGAGGCAATTAACATCTCCTAGCCACCGCGACGCCTCCGTGTCTTGCAATTTTACGTGGAGTCTTCTGCTGCTGCGTGGAATGCAGCCGTGTTGTTAATGTTGGAGCACACTGGATTTGCAATCCAGAGGTCTACGGTTCCATCTCCCAGCATTGAATGAGGACCACGTTGATTAAACACCCCGCCTGTCCACCCAGCTGTATGGATAATGGGTACAACCAATTAGCGCATTGGCAGGCAGCGCGTGCCTAACCCGCATAGAAGAGTAGGCCAAAGGGGTCGTCCATAAATGACGTCACGCACCTATGGGGGGGGGAGGTCAGACATTTGTGACGATGTGTGACGAGGGGGGGTGAGAAATGTGATGTCACATCAAAATGCGCAACTTTAAATAAATATAGACAACACGTTCTACTTCATAGTTTTCTCCTACAACATCAGAGTGCAGCGCCACATTAAATACGCACTATAATGACAATAGTTTAAAGCGATTTGAAGCATGTTGTATTTTTGTGGGGGGAGCTTTGCGACGTCATATTTGAGGGGGGGGGGGGGCCTGACTTTTTGTAATGCCGTGTGACGAGGTGGGGGGGGGGGTGAAACATCGTCCAAAATCGCGTGACGTCATTTATGAACGGCCCCAAATATCCTCAAGCGGGGGAGGGGGGGGGGAGGTGCTTTCTCGCTCCCTCACCATGGAGGCTCATCTTGGCCCAGCCGACACCGTTGACATGCTGCACTCGTGTCTCAAGGTGGGGATGCAGATCTTTGCATTCCCAGGTAGGAGCTCCGGTCTATGGGCGACCTGAGATTAGTTTCCCGTGTAGCCCCTCTCCCCCTAGGCTGTGGAATGCTCTTCCACGAGATATCAGAATCTCATGTCTGTGAAAATTTTAAGTCTAAAAATCTATTTAGACACTTGCGCTTATGAAATTTGTATTTCGTTTAGTAAATGAATGTATTAAAGTGTAATATAATTATGTTCGTTCGGAGTGTCCGCTGTTGCTGCCCTATAGTGATTTGAGATCCTCGATTGATCCAGCTATATCCATGGATTATTAAAAGGTCGGGATTTAGAGCGGAGCTGCAAATTTGGCTCGATTCATATTGAAGAAATTATATCCCTTACGGTGCCGCCGTCCTGCAGAGGTTCAACACCACAGTAGCCGCATTCTGAACGTGCTGAAAATTGATGAGCACCTTTTTAGCCACGCCAGTAAGACATTGAAAGTCGATGCGAGATGAGTTGAAGGCATGACCCAGCTTTTTTGCATCTGAAGCAGAGACAGGAGATATTCCGAAGATGGAAAAACGAAGCCTTTTAGGTTGTATGCAATTTTTTTTTCACTTTAATTTTTCATATTTCTTCAAAACTATACGAGCAGCAGCCAGCATTTCCAAACATTGTTGAACAAAATTTAAAAAACCAACCTTTTTTCACATCCATATCAGGGTTGCTCCAATTTCCTAAGAGCATCAAACATGACACAGAAAGTGTGGGGGTGATCAAAAGGAATGTTTGAATTTAGAAATCTCGAGAAGCATCCTGGGAGTGGTCATGTCTGGTTCCAAAGTGACAAGCTGTATTTGTCAAGCCATCCTTTTAACGTGGCACACAAGATGCAGATTGGCCACCCTGGTATTTATATGCAATGCTTTTACTTGCATCAAAACACGTTCCTTCGGAGTGGGCAGGTAGGAACTTGGTTTAACTAATCCGGGAGCTTACATGTTTGGGAGGGGCGCACCTCTGGTTGGCTGCTGGCTCGCAGTCACGTGACACACTTCGACCAATCCTAGAACGTACATGTTTGGGAGGGGACTATGCACGACAGACAAATAATCCCTGGTGGGCAGTGTGGAACTGTTGTTCCTACCTGTAAATGGTTACCCCTTCATCCACCCTCAACTTCTGCCGGGAAAGGTGGAACTTACCCAGGGGTTCTTCAGGGGTCCGGGATCCCAGTGAAGAGGACAGAAAGCCCGACACACAGGCGTGTTTCACCTTTGTTGGGTTTTGTGGCCAACAGACTAAATTACTCCAAGCACCTCCACTCGAGGCAAAAGCAGAGAGCACGAACCACACACAGAATCTTGCCACTTTTATCTTTATTGGTAAGAATGAGAAAAAGGAGTCAACACACGATGGCCACATTGATTGTGCCATAGGATGGACTTGCACAGGCTTCCCCAGATCAACACCATTAAATTCCTACACACCAACGCTAGCAATCTACCACACTTCCAAGAGGTTAACACGTGATCGATGAGCTTCTAGGGCTGTGAAAACAATAAAATGTACACAGAACTACCATTGGCGCAAGACCGTTTGAAAAAAACAAAAACAATCTTAACCTGCGTAAGTGTATTACAAAAGCGTGCGTGAAGTTGGTTCCTTTAATAAGTCCCAATTGTCAGTCATGCCCAAGTCACTCCCAGTGGAAGATTTTATCGATGACTGGTCAAAAATGTATCTTCATCACTCCCACATGGGTGACCCGCAAAGGAAACCGGACAATTGCAAAACAAACTCGTTGTGTAAAATGTTCAAGGGTTTGACGATGCATGAGGGATCGTTTGTTGACAACCGGGTCTTCACTAAGAATACGTGCAACTGATAAGACGTAAGTGAAAGTGTTACACCACATTTATATAAACTGAACATTAAAAAAAGGAAAATAATTCAATTGTTATTTTTTGCAAATGGCATAGAAAACAGATTCTCGGCGATTAAATTTGGTGACTAAACGGAATGTTTTAACACGATTGGCTATGATGATTTTTAGCGACAGGCAATTAGGCATGTCGAGTAAAAAAAAAGGTTTTTCGTCATCGTATCAAACACCGGAACGTAAATGAAACACAATAGGGTCCCAAAAGAATTGCGATGGTGACCAACTCAAGAAACCAAGATACATTTTTTGCACAATTACATTTTAAGTACTTTTTCAGGATTTTGTTATCGTGTGTGTGAGTTTATCATTTAATTTCCTCTCCCGGCCCCCCCCGCTATCACTGCAATGTGGGGGTCTAAACGACAAAATGAAAGGGGTAGGGGGAAGGAGGCAAGGTGGTTGGTGGATGGGTGGGTGATGGGGGGGGAGAGACAGCGGCATTTGGGCAGGCTCGTGGTGGCCACGTTTTAAATGGGCTTGCCCTCCAGGGAGATTACAGTAGAGCCTCCCAGCTTCTCGGCAAGAGTTAACCGATCTTGAATGTCGTCCAAGCCGTTCACTTGCCACTCGTGCTTGATGCCTGAAGACACGGGATGGGACGAGAAACACAAAAAGGGGAGACGCACGCGCGACGATGAGCAACGGACGCGAATCGTGAAAGCACCCGTATCTGTGTTATTGGTATCGTCAGTTGAGCGATGTTGGCGTAACTGCATAAAATCCGTGGCAAGGGTGGTGGTCGTGAATAGGCAACAGTGGGGTTGTCTTGAATGGAATAGGAGATGTGGAAGCAGATGTGAGAATGGTAAGAGGGACGGCATCAAAATGAACAGAAAATGTAATGCCAAATGTCAATCCACTGGTTACAGATAACCTGCCAGGAACACAGCACTTGGGCTGACACAATGAAGCAATCAAATAACACATGCCAAGTTGAAAACCCAACTTAGAATTATAAAAGAACACACAATACCCTTTTAAAAAGACCAAGACAGGATGTGTGAAATGAAAAAAAGCAAGAGTCTCCATGCTCAAAGCAGCTCAATGAGTGTGGTGTTGTTGGCTGTATCTCAATTTGGCTGGCTGTGAGCCACTGGTAAGAATTCCATCTCCCTACAGTGGGGACCAATCTATTCATAGGGCGTCGAATGTTGACGGCATATATTTTATCAAACCCAGAGATGATAATGAGCACTCTTCATTTCTTAAATGGGCACTCCGATGGAGTTTCCACCATCCAAATTTACAGCTGTAAGTTATAATCCATTAAAATGCCATGCACCTTTCACATGCTTGTTTATTTGTGTGGTTAGACGAGGCTGCGTGCCCTAAAGCATTGCGGCGCAGACTGTTGTTTTTACGTGAAAATACCAAATGCAAGTATGGCTTAACATGGAAACACTTTCGTCAACATGATGGGGATATCCATCGAGATGATTTCAGCTTCTTTCATCATAGATTCTAGAGTCAAATGAGAACCCAAATCCTTGTTAACCGTTTTGTGCAACTAACGCACTATAAATGAAAAAAACTCGCAATCCAAAAGACCAAAAATTAACTGTAAAAGCCAATTTTGAAAAGACAAAAATGTGTTGTACAGATCCTAAGTGGCTCTAGCCTGAGCTTGTCCGACTGATGTGGCCTAAGGTACTGACATTCCAAATGTCACTCACTTCATGAACAACTCAATCAGGATATTTCAATTCGTAATGTATATCATGTACCTTGGTAAAAACTTGTTTCTTAGGTCCATGCTATCCACAGGTCACTTAAGCTTAACAATTCGTATTGCTAAACGCTAATTGTTAGTGATAATTGTTTAGATGAACTAAGTGACCAATGGACAGTGGCATGGACAAACTACACATTTCCTTTGCATTATTTTTTTTTTTCACGTGATGTCTTCAAATATTTCCATGAAGGATTTTTGGTACCTTGAACAGCAGTTGCTAGTGGAAAAAACAACAAATCTAAATGTTTTTCTTTTTCAGATTTAGTGCAAGCCAACGTTTAAAATCCCACTTTCCACCAAAATAAAAAAAACCTTCTGTCTTTTCCACTCTGCTCTTAAGAAACACTGCTTTAAACATTAGCAAAGACAGTTTTTGTTGATGGGCAGAGGGAAAGCAGATCGAGCTTGAATCGGAGGCACATATGATACACTGTATTTAAGAATGTATTACACTATGGCAGAAACTCCGCTAATAACCTCAAGTGCCAAATAACGATCTGCTGACAAGTACCACCCTAAGTAGCGTGACGTCACATTGCATTCCAGAACCACCAAATCAGAGTTCTCAAGACCCCAGCCAGAGGGCTTTCAGAAGTCGAAGTGTCAAAGTGATTTCCTGCTCAAATGAGTAATCAGGCAGGGCACTCATCTCCTGTTACAACCGAGCCAATGCTGGAAATTCTGCATTTCTACGGGAGAAAAAATTTGACCCAAAAAGTACAACTGTACTTATTTCATCCACGCCGGAGCAATGATGCGTCGAGTCAAACCCCAACCAAGATTGGATTGTCATTCGCAACCTAGCGGCCGGCTAAAAGCTTTTGAGGACTTCAACAATTCCATTACATCTTCCCAATTCCACGTCTCCCACACTGGAGGAGACACAGAACACGCACCATCACGATGCACCACGCAGTGCTCGGCAGAATGCAGCCCGAATTGAGGCCAGTTGAGCTCCATTCACATGCAAAGTTAGAACTCATTCGTGTGCAAATTTAGAGACGAACAAAAGTGGTCTTGCGACTGCTGATCCTTGTGGACAAAATCAAGTCCTTCCAGAGGCCAAATCTCCCCACTCTAACACGAGTGAGACTTTTAAAAACACGTCACGAGCGCAATTTAAACGCTGGGCTGAACTCAACAGTTAGGAATGCTCCAAATAAGAAATTTGGCTCAATACGAAAGATCTACTGGAACTATGGTATCAGGTTGGAGTAGAAGCTGACTAGTAAGTCTTAAATAAGGACAGGAATTCATCGGTGGTAATAAGACGATGATAGAAGCCAACAGATGGGAGACTAACGAGACACATCATACATGCAAACAAGATGACATCGGAGGCGAAAAATACAGTTAAGCCTTAGAAGAGAGATGCAAATAAGAGGGCAGGTGGAGTGGATAGAGAGATGTGGCCAAGGGATATAAATGTGGTGAATTTGAGAGACAGGCAAGCGAAAAGATGGACTCGTTAAACAGGAGAAAAACACAATTGATGAGATATGTACAGGTAAGGAGAGGCAGATAATAGGCTAGCTAGTCAGACAGACATTGCAGAGGTGCGCATGCGGAGACTCACCCAACAGCGTTAACTGTGCCACGACCCTCACGGGGAATGTCACGTGACCACTGTGCCCAGCGTGAAATTAAATTACATGCTAATGTGGCTCTTTCACATGCAGACGTGTGAAATACTGGACATAGCTAAAACTGAAGCGATCCCCAACTGGTTAAATGGTTTTGTTTAATATCAACCTCAAATAATTATAGGTCTGGATATCAACCAGAACCAATTACGACACCCTACCTCAGAGCGAGGAGACAACATCTGTGGATTGTTTGTACGCCTGCTGGTCAATTAACAGACCGGGAGAAAGCGTCGAGCAGACTATGCAAAATCATGGTAAAAAAAGGCAAAACAAAGCCATTGCTTTGGGTGTGCGCTGGTAAATCTCAGTAATATTCTACAAAGAGTGCCTATGCAAGGAACCATTTCAGACGGCCTCAGGCTTCCCGACCGCAATTCGAAAATCAAAAAACACAGCTGGGTACGTAGGCAGCTTATTTTAAATCGGCGCGTTTTGTTTGCAGGAAGCCAGGGGAGAGATTTGATGGGATGCCTGCGGAATAGGTCCCCCGGTGGCAAGACAATTCAGGCGACACATTTTAATAATGTATCAAACAGAAAACCCCACGTAGCTTAGGTCATGGGAAGAATGTGCAAAAATAACCTGATTGTAATTATCAGCGAAACGTCGTACTCAAATTTTAAAATGCTGTTGATTCTCTCACACCGGTAGGCTAAAGTAGTGAATTATTTTATCTTTTGAAAAACGTGACATTTTTACTGTTTGGCCATGTCGGGTGGTGGAGGGTTACGACACATTTATAAATAAGGCGATCTGACCCAAAAACCTATATTATGAAAAATAACCTGTCCGAATTTTTTGGTCGAATCGTCAGTTCGTGGTGTTTCTCAGCGATCGCAGCTGAAGGCAGAACAGCCAGGATACAAGAGACCTCCCCCTCTGATGTTGCCCATGCATCGAAAACATCCCAAGCGCAACCAAGGTTGGTGAACTCGCAGGAAAAAAAGGTATGGGAGCTAGACGAGCACAAAACGCCTACAGCAAGACATGACCGTATCATTCCCAAACAGCCAGAACGGATTTTACTTCCTCAGATATCAAACAGCTCGACACGACAAACAGGCACGGCTCCCTAAATGCTGCACTTTTTGAAACATGGCTTTTTTTTTTAAGCTGCCAACACACTTGGGCAAGCTTCACGCGCGCAGCGTGCAGAACTGTAAAAATCAGAGTCAAGACACGCTGAATGCTTTTATTCACTTGAAAAAACCATACAACCCGGGCACAAAATGCGAGCCTCGTTTGTGTAGTTCCATTTGCTCACCGAGCAAATCAGTAGCGAGACATTCCAGAGCACTGCGGGGCCTTGTTATTTACAGACGAGCTTGTGTTTCAAACACGGCCCATTTTAGGGTAATCCACCGAGCGGTTGCCATGCCATGCCGTCTTTTCTTATTCGGCTCGACGCCGCGACAGGAATGCTCGGTGGTCCCAGCAGAGCCACGACTTAAAAAGAACCCTTCTTGAAAGCACAGCCTGTGCAACAAACGTGAGTCTAACTTTGGCAGTGAAAGGCACATAATGGCCAGCTCTTGTGGCAAGAATGTCCACGGGCTTTAGTGGAATTCCCAGTTTATGATTGCAGACGCACGCAAATGCCCCCCCCCCCCTCTATGCGGTGGCGTGAACTCGTGAAAACCAACAAGGCAGAAAAGATCAGTAGTTAACACCTGGGCTCAAATCTCGATGCCCATATCAGACAGAATAGCGTTCTTAAAGTTCGTCGATGTAATGACAAAGGTTAAGGTGCAAAGTCTGCAATTGCTTGCGCATGTCACTGTTAGCAGAGGCCTCCACTAGAGAGCTCTGGAGAGCCCTTCTGAACAGCATGTGGCATACACTTTCACACGGAGGAGGGTGACTACACTTTACTCCACCGCTAGTGACCTGTCAAACGACTGTAAGGCAGACAAAAATCAACTCATCAACACCAGGCTAAGTCATTCCATCTCGAAGACCTCAATCAAACACTGCGTGGTTCAACGTTATTTCCCTTAGGGTTGCTCCTCAAATGGTGAAGTTATGCGTGTACCGAGACAATAACACATCTCTAATTTAAAATGTCTTCATTCTCACATTTACAAGTAAACACAAATGGTTATAAGGAGAGAATGTGATGAAATGAAGTATGAGATAAAGAGATGAGATCGACAGAGATAACTTCTAAGCTTTAGGAGAAGTCATCTGCAGAATTGGCATGTATGACATTCGTCGGCCAATAAACGTTATCTGCGAAATTTGCTATTTCATGAGCATCTCCGGAACGTATCACCCGCGAATAACAAGGGAATATGTTACACCATGGAAGGATGACGGTCTTGGCTGAATTCGAACCACGATATTAATTTGCAAACTTATGATGGCAAATGGAGTGCTCTTACCAGTGCCACCCATTCAAATACATGTCAACATCACATGGAAATAAGAGTGTGGCATTCCACTACATGTGCATGCAAAGATGGAAATCTATCGTGAACTGGTGGGAGGGGGGGGGTTTGACGTCGAAGGAGTTTCGATTTTCATACCGAGAACGTATTAGGCTCTGACGAGGGCAAGATGCCAGTCCTTTCTCTAGGCAACGCATATTATTTATTACACATTTCAGTTTCACATTCCTTGTATGCTGAAAAGTATTTATTTATATTTTTACTCGAAACTGACTTTTAGAGATCAAATGGCGATGGGAATGGTTACACAATCCACGCTCATCTCTTTCGGCTAAAGCCTTTTGCATTAACTTATTACTCTTGCAACTATTGTTCTTGCTATGTACATCACCGAAACATAAGCTTATCAAAAGAACATGTGTTACTGAAGGGTCTTAACATTACTAAATGTCCCTGGTATTTAAAATTCGTACAAGTCGGAAGTGGATGGATAGATTAGAGGTCAGAGATAGAGCCAGCACCACTTAGATGCTGGATTTAAATCCTCTAGCTGCATACATTACCCTAAGAGAAATTATTTCACACCCATTTACAACAAACACCCAATCTTTTCTCTACAGCTCACACGAGTGCACGCACAACAATTGGAAGCCATTAATATCTGGTCAACATGGATATCCATTTTGTTCAATGCACAATGAAAGTCTGGTGGCGAGTGCAGTCGTCTGCTCATGTACGTTACCTGTAAACTTCTTCTTGATGGCTTCTTTGGAGCTGGCGTAGACCATTTTGCTCTTGAGCGGAGCCCCATCAGGAGCCCTGCGGCAGAAATAAAAAAAAACGATGAAAGATCGGTGGGAAAAAAATTATCAGGAATTGTGATTATCACCATCTTTACCCCCTAAGCCATGTATATGCCAGACAAGGTTTTGAAAAATCTGGGCCACTGTAACCTTACTACAGTCAACATTTAAGGAAAGCGAGCTCGCTTTTATAACTGGTGCGCATGCACTTTGGGGCTTGATTCCATGCTACTCACGAGATTTCTAGAGACTTTCCTAAATTTAACTCTGGAGCCTAAACTGTTATTTTGAATAAATCTTTGACGAGTCCAACAGCAACGCCATACGATTCCATGTTTCAAGGTACTACTTCGGTGACAATTATAGTGGGCTTCAAAGCAACTCAGCCTCAAACAAATGCCTAAGTCCAATAAACATAGCCTCTGTGTTATCTGCATAATGAAATATATGTTTAGCAGTGTCCCTCTTCAAGAGACACCACAGAATATAAATCGCACAAGTGTTAGTTCTTATTTCTTCCCCGGCATCTTACAAGTTTAGTTGAAGGCGATTAATCTAGATTGGCTCATAAGGATAATTAAGTAAATAACTGTAAATGTGTCGTTAAACAATTATCTTTATTAAACAACTTCAAGAACAAAAAAACTACCTTTCAGTAACCATGCAAGTCTCTACTGGACATCAACAGTCTAAACGCAGCACCAGTAAGCTCAACCCGATGGTGAAGTCATGTGCACATGCCAATTTTCTGCACAATCGTCATACAAAAAAGCAATCCCTCCTACATTATGTATATTAAGTGTTGCATCTTCAGATAAGAACTGTGGTGCGAGAACAGTTTAACATTCCCATAAGTTCAATGTTAGTTTTACTAATTTCCAACAGATGGCAGCAGTGAGGTAATAGTTTAAAATGGCGGCTGGCAGATCCGAGTGAGGCAGAGATCAGCCAGTGAATTCCTTTCACTGCAAGTAATCGACAATTGGCATTCACCATAGTGCGATAGGTTTTGTTTATATATGGTGAACTGTGTTGATGCAAGCACTACGCAAGTGAACTAAGTAAAATAGCAGAACATTTTATTTTTTAAAGACAACATTTGTTTTAAGGGTGGCCTCCAAGGCTGTGGCTGCAGTCAAACAAAGGTAAAGATAAATGAAATACTTAATTCGGCCAATCACGTCGTCGGCCCAATTCGACTTTCACCTAAGGAGAGGCGTGCGCGCGACCATCAACGTAGCGCAATATATGCACATTGTGAATACAACCATGAGGAACTATCCCTCCATCCCTACAATGACACCACCAGACCTCAAAAGCAAACCCAAAGAAGACAGTGTTAACCGTGTAGCTAGCATCTTCCCACCTTAATGCTTGCAGTCGCTCTTAAGGACAAAACTGACGAGCACGGTTTGCTGGGCCTCGAACGCAATACGCTAAACAGGACTAAGTCACGGCTAATAAGTAGTCAAGCGCACACCATTAGTGTCAGTGTGGCGTTGTCAACAAATACTGCCAAGCAGTAAAATTATGACTCAAAAAAGTGGCGACAGGACAACCTTGCACCAATGTGTCCACCTGAAATGACTCCAAAGTCTTCTGCCTCGCAATAAAAGGTCACGGTACTTAAAATAATTTCTTGTCAAATGCCGCAGAAGCTTAACCAATGGCAACAGGATGCACATGCATCCACCCCAGTTGAGCTAGTGTGCGGAAAAGCAGCCATTTTATTATTACTATGCCCTGCGACTAAAGATTAGGTTTCACGTTTTCCACGTGTGAGTCATACAACTGTGTCCCGAGCAGTCTTTTCAGCAACATTACAATGGACGGCTAAGCTGACAGCAGTCTCGGGTAGCGTTACAGAAAGGCGCTAACGACAGCAAGACCCCAGCCTTGAGATAAATGTACATCCCCCATCCGAGAGCGGAAACAGCCCCAGTGTGTCCAGCTCCAATGTGCCCGCTGCAACTGCATCCCGACTGTCACCCAAACACTACAATGTAGATTATACACCTGGGATGGATACCTTACGGTTAATGATGGCACAAGTAAAATTTTAATCTGAAAAGACACCAGGGTGTTATAAGTCTTCAAGAAAATCAATGACAGATAATTAGTACACCAAGAAACTATGGATGAATCACCACAATGATTAAGACCAACTCAGGATTAACACTCATGCACTTGATGGCGAGTAAGAATCTATTTTTAACTCACATCTGTTGTCTGGATGTCTTTAAAATAAACCCTGAAGCCACCATTGATTTTGCACTTACCACAATGGCAGTTAATTGATTCTTGAATTAGATTCGGACTGTTAATCGTGACAATAAGTTGAAAAAAATGAAAAACGCCAGAGATAAAATTGTTATATGCAGTTTCTAATCCATGCCGTCATCCTAGTCTTCTTTAAAAAAATGTTGTGGTACACTGGTCCCTTAGTTATTACTAAGAGACCAGTGGACCACAACATTTGGGAAGACAACATTTGGGAAGACAAGCACAAAACAATGATAATACAAAGTAAACTGTAGACTAAAAGCCAGGGCAGTGGTAAAAAAAAAAACCTTTGATGAAACGAGGACCGAGGAAACAATCTAGGACCAAGACAAACGAGTGAACCACACAAGACGACCAACAGGGCAAAGACAATAACGAGAGAAAATTAAAAACACAATTTGTCGGGGTTTGAAATAACAGGACAGACAATCACCAATGACTAGGGTAGAGCCATTGGGGAGGTACAAAAGAACCAGGACACATCGGAATCTCTGAAAATACTGGAAGAGGGGAGAACGATTAAATGTGCCACTCAAGACAATGAATTTACAGATTTCACAGGACAGGTACCTCAAAAAATAGAGTAATCATGAGAAAACCATTACAGGTTGTAACTCTGCGCATCTTCTTCTTTTATATGGCTAAATGTAGATGCAGAGCAACAACTACTATCTCACATTCAGGCGGCGGTCAAGCCAGACAACCACCTCAGGAGCAGAGGAGCCAATCTCAGTAATACACTGCCCCGTGAGAGAGAAAGCGAGAACAATAAAGGGCAAAGCCCAATCTGGGACTAACCAAAAGATGAAAACCAGGTCCTCCTTCTTGGTCTCGCGCGTCTCGTAGGTGGCATCGTAGAGCGCGTAGCGGCAGTCATCCTTGGGCAGCAGCTTGACGAAGGTGTCGTAGGGGTCCTTCACAGTCTCGCCAACGTCACCCACCAGGATCTCCTTGCCTTCCTCGGCGATAATGTTCCGCATGTCCGGGCTGATGCAGAAGAGCACCGCCTTCTTCCTCTTCTTAACCTCCTCGGGTGTCGACGACTTGCGCACCTTCATGTTGTTAAAGATCTGGACGACGTCGTCGGATACAAGCACTCCCGAAGCCTGCAAGAAATTGTCATATAGCCACAGGTTAATCCACCGATAGATTTAGGCCTCCCCCTCAACCTACCGCCACTTCACACAAACCTGCAATCTAATAATTCAGCTAGCGGATGCACACAAACTGATTACATTACTCCATCTCCTCGGGAGATGTCCTCTCGGAAGCACCCATTCCAAGTTGCCACTCCCGTTATCATTTTCCTTGAGGAGCAAAACAAATCGACTGTAAGTGCAAAAAGAATGCCGCATGAAATAAATTGTTCTCAAAAGACTCCATTGTTGAAATTCCAACCCTGGGATTATTAGTGTGTCATCTGCTGCCATATGGAAATCCAAAGACTATGCACAGCTCTTTAAAGGGCATGATTTTGAAAACTGTCAGTGGTTCGCAAAATTGTGAAGATTTGCTTCGATGTTATTTATGAATGCTGGTTGTAGAGGCCTCTTTTCAAGCACATTTGTCTTTCACAATTTGAGAAAGGCATTTTTTTACTTCGACCGTACAATGCAAATTTATTGCTTACATTCTTCGTGTGCATTTTTTCCACCATCCCAAACGTGCCATCGGCATACGGGCAGCGTAAAGCATTTCCCCATTCTCCTCCAGACAGCAGCACAATGCGCCACTTTGTGGAACTGTCCAGAAATTAGACCTTTACGTCACTCTTACCACACTTCTGCTGACATTAGTAGAGTTTGGCGAGTCTGACAAAGCAGACCTTACAGCTAGGCCTAAGAATTGCACGCAAAATCAAAAAGATACTCATGTGTAGGTCAGTTTACAGAGGTAGAGAACATCGACTCGCTATGCTTGGGAAGTGCTCAGTTTTTAGTAAGGCGTCTGGAAAATGAACCCAGAGTTTCAAGTTTGATCAGATACTCGAGACAATAGCATTGTCCCCAGTGCCACCTGGTACAGAGAATGAAAAATCCATGGAGTATGAACACAATTTTAATTAACAAGCTTAGTGTGGGGGGGGGGCACTTTGCCCCACCCGCACCACATTATTATTATAACCGTCAGTAGGGTAGCTACAAAAGAGAGACGTCCCTCAATGTGGACATTGCACTCCATGTACAAGAGGGCCATGCTACCCAGCCCTTAAAGCACGAGTCAAAAATAACGTTTTGCAGTAAAACAACCCACCGAGCAAGAAATGCTTTGCATCACTCTGCACAACCATGGAGGCTGTAAATAATTTGCCGACAAAGCTCAGCAACACAAGGCCAACCTGCTTGAGGATACGGGTAGTCAACACTTCCTTAGACAATGTGGTCATAGTGGCGGCTGGAGGTGTTGCATTTTTTTTGTCCCCCTTCCTTAAAATCAATAGCAAATAAACATGCACTACACGTTCTCGGCCCGTTCTCAGCCGCTCAGCAGTGCGAAACACGACGAGTGCACAGGCCTTAAAACACCATCTGGATGTTGTAAAGCGCCCGAGACACGCTACGGTACACTCAGGAGCGGGCGTCAACGAGTTCCCCATTAATCCCTGGCTCAAAAAACAACACTGCCTCCAAATTGGGTTACACACATTCCAGTCCATGCCCTCAAAAATGTCACGCATCGGCCATGGAAAGGCGTAAACAGTGCTTAACAATGGCTCAATTCAACAGCAGGCTTCTTCAGACCTCAAGCCATGTCTGTATCAGAGCGCTGAATCCGGATTGTCAAGACTAGTAGCTTCATTGCTAGAACCTGCCTCAACTGAGATTAAACTGATGATTTCAGTTCGGTCACCATGGGCTCCAAAAAATAGGTATTGTTCTAGTTTGGTTTTACAGTGAGTCTGGTAATAACCAGGCTCTCATCTGGATTCAAGAAAAAATTATCCAAGTCCAGCTCTGCTTTTACAATGTGATCCCTCAATCATCCACACAGCTGGAAAGGGCACACTGTAGTGAAATCGTAAGACCATCTCCGAAAGCTATAAAAGGCTGTGTCACTTCTGGGCCATTGAATACTGTGAGGTGTGGCTCTGGCATCTGTCTAAAAAACTTTAAACGGCCTGCCGAAAAGCAAATAAAGCTGGCACAAACATAAAACATTCTTGAAACCTAGGAACGAAAATGTCCAGTCATACCTCCAAATCAGACATTATCCGTCTACCCTACAGCGTGCTCAAACAGAACTTGCAGTGCAGCCAGTTTAAGTAAACTATACCTGTGTGCCACGTCTAAAAAGCCACCTTCATTAATTGGCCACACCTGCTATAGGGAACGTTTAAACCTCAGATGGTACCACTTAGCTCTTGTGTGGAATCGAGGGAAAGTGTGAGAAGCGGCTGGTCGACATAAATTCGTAATGCTACGGAGCGAAGAAGGGAACAGCAAAAATATACAGTAGAGTGTGTCCTTTTTTAGGACAAGGGGCCCATTCAGTAAATGCAGAAGTAAAATTTGCATCGCAAAGCAAGACTTTTGTCAAGTATATGAAACGCTGTTTCCCCCCCACATCAAGATGTCAATATTCTAAAGAGAGGACGCATGTGCCCATGCGACCCTTGCAATGTGTTTTTTGCCCACCAAGCAATTAACGCAGTCATTTCATGGATTAACGATTCAGGGTCGCAAATTTGTCCGGGATTGGCTTTAACTTATTTTGACCATCTCGTTTGTATTTTATCGATGTTCGTCTCATTTGTAGCGTTATTGGCTCCATTTATATAAATGCACTATTAGCATAACATTGAAGGTATGGATCATTAAAGTCATAATCTATAATAAGTGCATCATTCCAGTCTTACGGTCCAGTATGCCCTGTGGGCTTGAGCAGCCTTTCCCTTGGCTTTGAAACGTACAATTCCATCTCGCTATGCATATTAACTCATGAACTTACTTTTTATATATGGTTTACTAATTTTTACAAACCTGCCCCCCTCCTATGATGAAGTAGACATCGTTGGTTTTTAGGCATTTCATGTTTAAAATATTTCTATTTTACATATTACCTTGGCACGAGTCTTTTAACCACTAAGTATTTTCGTCGAGCCACGACAGGCAATTCCATTGTAGCCGAAGCAGGGTTCAATGATTGCGGCTAAATGCCACACAAACCCACCCAGCCCGCGAATTGGAAAACGCCACGGTGGTTGAAGTTACTGCCAACAAGGATACGTAGCATTCCTGCACCTAAGGCAAAACCCATAACTCACAAAATGTCGTGGGTTTAGTCTGACGCCCACCCAACACAGGCCATTTCAACCACTGCCTCAACAAATTTGCTAATTAATTTTCAAACTCCAAATAAGGAACACAAATTTTTTTCTCAAGTACTGCTCATCCAAAGTGCCAGTAAAAAAATATAATTATTTATCTCTGGTGAAGGCCTATCCGTTAAAGGAGAATGCAAACATTACAAAAGCATGTTTGTTTGCATGTTTTACCACAAGCATGTGTGGTTAATGCAGACGTGATGCCTTGCAATAGGTATCTAGTGTTTGAACATCTTAACAGCTGCATTATGCTGGAAAGGGTAAAGCCTAATATTTTTCCATCCTATTGTCATTTTAATTAGATATTTATTCAGCCAAGCATAAAACCATTCTTTAAAAAATCCAGTCTTCCAAATTAAATGAATCAGGGGGTGGGTTAAATATTAATAATTCAAAATGATACGCTTGAGCCAATAAGCTGACAGAATCACGAGCTGTTTTGACAAAATGCCTGGGAAAATAAAGTTACACATGGGAGGTTTTATAAATATTAAATGCAGGTGACTTTCAAATTTGGAACGTGGGTAGACAAACCACAAGAGCACACACTTGCGGATAAAGCCAATGGGGTCTTTAATCCCTGAATGACAGAAAAAAACCCTTCTATTCGGGATAATACTAAATATACATGTACCAATACAGATTCAATGAAAAAAAAAATCACAGAATATGCTCACATTACATGAATGACATATTGCACGTAATATGTTTTAATTTGGACATGTTATTGGTCAATTTGACCCCTGCTGCCAATACAATCACCATAACAGAAAAAAGGAATCAATGGTGGAGCTGAATTGCAACCCCCATTCATGACAATTTATATAATAGCTACAGGCCTAATGCTGACCAATGGGTCATTCCAAAACATGAAAACTTTAATTATGACGTAGGAGCACATCATGGTAATGGACAACTGGCAGATGACAGAAACGAGATTCAGATCAATTTCAGCACTATTTTTATCAACTCTTCCATTTCCTCTGAAGTACTCATTCCTATCAGAGGCCTGTATTTTTCAAATTTCATCCTCTAGACCATTCAATTTAGACTGCATACCACCTCTCCTTTAGTGGCCATCAAGAGATTTAAAAGTTGTGGCATTATCCTTACATTTTCATTTATTTAATAAAATCACTTATACGGCATTGACCTCACTCACATTCAACCCTTTTCGGCACAATGATAAACATTTTTGCCGTGTTGTTGGGTTTCAGTGTCTCCTGCACCCTCACACGGGTTTACACGCTTGGGGTTGTCCGACGCCACTCAACCATCTCCCAAAAAACATTTCTTAATGATATTTCCCCCCAAATGTCTGGTTCGCTATGTTGCATATACTGTGCATTGAGATGCAATGGCAGGTAAGCACTTAATAACCTTCATCTGCCAATCTTTACTTTCACCACCATGGCAAGAACGCCGTGTTATGCTTGTGACACGCACCACATGATAAAATGCCACCATAATAACTAAAAAGCAATCAGGGAGTACAGGAACTTTTCACCACAGCAAGGGAAATGTAGCATTGCTTTGAAGGCGTTTTATTGACTCTCAAATGGAAAATCATTGGAAAAATTAAATAAAATAATTGTAAAGGCAATGCCTCGCAGCAGGACCTGTGATGCATTAGTGTACACAATACACACACCACAAAGCAATTTTAAAACAGCTACACTGCAATGCAGTGGAAATTACTCACGCTAGGATTGTCAGATTGCTATCAGAATCACCATGGACCGATAACCACTGGGCACCTCCACACTGAAATTGTGTATGCGG